TTTGTCATTAATCACTTACCCCCATGTTGTTCCAATCCCGTAAAAGCTTCGTTCGTCTTCAGAACACAATTTAAGATATTTTGGATGAAAACTGGGAGGCTTGTGACTGTCCCATTGACTGCCTAGTAAATTACACTGTCAAGGTCCAGAAAAGTATGAAAGACATCGTCAGAATAGTCCATCTGCCATAAATGGTTCAACCATAACGTTATGAAGCGACTAGAATACTTTTTGTACGCGAAGAAAACAAAAATAACGACTTTATTCAACAATTCGTCTCCTCTGTGTCTCTCCGCATCACCGTAGCGCCATTTTGGAGAATAACCACTGAACGCAAGCAGCGTACGCTCTTCTGTGTCAGCCGCGACACAAGGATACGTTTTCTACGTGTATTTACGCTTTGATTTGAACGTAAACAGCGCATCCGTGTAGCGCGGCTGACACAGAAGAGCGTACGCTGCTTGCGTTTAGTGGTTATTCTCCAAAATGGCGCTACGGTTATACGGAGAGACAAAGAGGAGATGAATTGTTGAATAAAGTCGTTATTTTTGTTTTCTTCGCGTACAAAAAGTATTCTCGTCACTTCATAACGTTACGGGGGTTTGGAACGACATTGGGGGAAAGTGATTCATGACAACATTTTCATTTTGGGGTGGAGTATCTCTTTAACGGTACGATTTTGTAATGTTTTTAAAAGACGTCTCTCATGCTCACCAAGTCTGCATTTATTTTATATGTATTTTTAAGCATACAGTAAAAATAGTAATATTGTGAAATATTACAGTTTATAATAATTGTTTTCTATATTTAAAAAATTCTAAAATGTAATTAAATCCTGTTATAGTAAAGCTGAATTTTCAGCAGTCATTACTCCATTACTTCATGGTAACTGCAACTTGCTTGACATTCTTTCAGAGCGGAATCTTTCATTTTTTTATATTATCATCTTCAGGGAGTTACGCTATGAGGGACTTGGTCAGCAACTTGCCCAGCGGACAGCAGCGGCCAGCCAAGAACCTGGAGGAGGACACAGTGGTGGCCATCCTCAACACCATCCATGAAATCATCATTGACAGCTCTGAGAACGCCCGCTCTCTCATTACTGCTCAAGCAATCGACAAACTAGTGGCCATCAACAGGACCAGGTAAGAAGGGAACAGAGAATGGAGGAAGATTATGGTAATGACACAATATATGGTCTCTCTTTGATCAGAGTTAAGCTATATTCACACTGTAAGTTTCTGATTTCTGCTCAAACCAGATATTTTGTGAAACTAGAATATTAAATTTAAAAAGCTTTAACATTTTAACCTTTATTTTCACTTTTCATCTTTCTATGTTATAATTGATTTTTAGATCAAGCCAACTATCTATGGTATTTTCACTTCAACCAATTATGATTTCTTAAGGCTTGCTTAGTTCTGTATGTTCACAAACAACAGGTTTTTGATCTGTGTAAACATCTTATGTTAGTTTGGGTCCTCCTTAACTGGCAGAGAAAAACAGCAACAAGAGTTGCTGCTTTTTGAAGTGTCTTATTTTTATCACCACACATCTTTAATATATGTGTGTTAAAAACTGAATATTAAATGGTGCAGTGCTGTTGATATCAAAAGCAGCAGAGACCTCCGGAGAGTGAGCCATATGTTAAACAAACAACCTCCATGCTTTCCACATGTGACCTCATTTAAAACTGCACATCATTTATACCATTTCTGCCTGAGCATGATTTTACCCGAAACTAGATATTGATTGTAAGAGATTAACTTTTTAAAGAGTACATGCTAGACTGGAGAGTGGCTACACGGCCTCTCTCTATCTCTCTCTGACTCTTTGAAGTCGTAGGCTCCTGGTAATTAAGTGAGGATCACAGGAAAAGCTAATGAAGTGAAAAGAGAGAAATCTGTGGCCACAGGGGTTAGAGATTGGAGCCATAGTGACACTGCGATGCTGGGAGGGGAATAGATGACTTTGAATTTGAGAGTTATTCCACTGGGCTCTGGATTCTGCATAACTCTCTTTCCCTCCATGTTTATGCATTGCAGCCAGTCGGCAAGGGAAACCAAAGCTGCTTCCCATGTACTACAGACGGTTTGGAGCTATAAGGAGCTGAGAAATGCCCTGACCAAGGATGGCTGGAATAAAACACACTTCCAAGTAGAGTGAAGCATAAACGCACACAAACACTCTGATTTCTCAGTTATTCCTAAACCAAAGTGTAAAGTGGAGAAAGGTAAATCCCATGAAGAAATGTCCAGGTCACACTTCACTTTAAAATGTAAAGAAAAACTAAGAAATTAATAAGAAAATATTTGCATAGTGAAAATTGAGTGTTAATGGAGTGTCATTTTCATCATAATCAAGCAGAATTGTCCCCCAAAATTCTCATGCCCTCAAATTTCTAAAAAAAAAAAAAGAAAATCTTGTTCTCATTAATGTAATACATTCCTGAGTGGACACAATGATTTATTTATTTTTTACATTTTTAAATATAAAATAAATATGATATGAAATGATATTAAAGGTCACATAAATAATAATGAAAAATTATTATAGATATATTCAGTGAAACAAATACTGCTATGATGTATACTTCAGTTATGCTGTATTTGACAAATGTACATTAATTCTATTATGAAAGTGTTCTCATTTCAAATGTCACATATATTTTTCACATCACAGTATTTTTTGTTGAACGAGAATGAGATCAAATGTGCTTAAGTTTATTTATTGTGCCTAGGTGCCAGTAAAATTATTTCAGAATGCAAAAAGTCATGATGGTCAAAATAATAGATCTCATTTCCTTGATGCAAAATACATTTTTTTCGAAAGAAAGTGAAATATGATTCAGACATTTCTTGATGGTTTCTGTGAGATTCACATTCTATTGTAACTATCCTTTGCATCCCTTACTGTACATATTTTATGAAGAAAGAGACCTAGTTGTCCTAATCCAAGTGCTTTTAGTGAAGGTTTGTCACTCTGTCCTGTGTTTCTGAAACATTCTCCTCTTGATCCTTCTCAGCCGATACCGACTGGCACTCCCAAAGGATCTAAGAGTTGCAAGCCTGGCTACGACGATACTACACTCCCCTTGATGGAGACGAACCAAGGTTAGCATAAGACCCCAAACAGAGACTTTACACACCCTGATAGCAGCGAATCTGGGTGCTCAGGGGAGTTCTGGCGGTTCAGGTGCACCTGAGCGAGCATATCTTCTGAACTCTACTACTTTCTGTGTTTTAACACACGGCAGAATGCTTGATCTCTCACCCCCGCTGCTCAGCTGGTGTGTGCAGCTGCCGCATCTCTTGTGCTTTAATCGGTCATTTGAGTGGTTCATATGATACAGAATGATTTATGAGGATCAGACAGCAGATTAATGGGCCTCAATGTAGGAGCTCATTATTCATTCACTCTCAAGTAAAATGATGGTAAATTACTGCAGTGCTGCAATAAAAAGCACCATCCGTCCACCCAGGGCACATCTCATTGAGAGAGGAGTTAGCATGACAGCTTTGGCTTTTTTTTAGATTTTATTGCTGCAGTTAGCATGGATGCTCATGACAGTGATACATTTGATCACTTCCATCAGTCCCATGCCATTACCTGCTTGCCTTACTGTGGAGAATTGAGCACAACAGTGACCGCCCATCTTTTCGGAAGCCTTTGTTCCAGAAGCATTTTTCTCATTCATTTTCTCTATAGCTGAATTAAAAATCTATAAAAAGGTCTTAAACCAAACTAACCACTATGAACTACTCATCCGTGAACCATTCTGAAGGATATTATTGAATCAGCACAATAAAATATGAAACTTTTAACTTAAGATTGTTTGTGAGTATAAAATACATGTTTTAAAGGCCCATTCACACCAAGAACGATAACTATAAAGATAACTATATTAGCGTCCACACCAGCAGACGATATCGTCTGTTTATTCCAAGCGCACTCTTGTCTGCCACTTTAAACTCTAGAGCTCGTGATAGCAGGATTGATTCTGATTGGCTGTCAATGTTTTTATCGTTCATCAGCTGGAAAAAAAAATCGTTCTGGAAGTGATTCCAACGATATCGTTTCTCTGTGCCTTTATCGTTATAGCTGTGGTGTGGACTCTGCTAATCTTTAATATTGAGAACGATTTTTAGAACTATATCTTTATTGTTATCTTTATAGTTATCGTCCTGGGTGTGAACAGGACTTAAGTGTATTATTTAATCTAAAACGTATTGTGAAATATTGTGAAATTGTATTCCAATTTAAAATAACTTATCTATTTTGATATATTTTAAAATGTAATTTATTGTTGTGATGGCAAAGCTGAATTTTCAGCAGCCATTACTCAGTCTTCAGTGTCACATGATCCTTCAGAAATCATTCTAATATGCTGATTTGCTGCTCAAGAATCATTTCTTATTATTATCTCACTTGAAAATGGTTTGATTTGATTATAATTTCTATGCTTTATGGTAGTGGGCGGTTACTGTTGAGTCAGATTGCCGCTATTCTCACTTCCTTTGTCTTCTCTGATTGGTGTCTCTCACTTCAGAATTGTGGATAGTTTAGGATTTCACAGAGAATTATGTATTTAAAAAAAAATGTATACTTAAATTGACATTCTAAAATTGAGCATGCATATTAGTGATGTGAAAATCCAGCCTGTAAAATGCTTTTCAGGCAATAGAGGGTGTAGCGGTGGGGATGTGATACCTATGGATGAACTCGGTCCAGGTAAGACAATGTCGGCATGCTCTCAAAAAAAAAAAAAAGTCTTACAGACTAATGTGGTTTTAAGAGAATACAAAACCATAATCCCTCTAATTCCATTTACCCTAAAATTTCTCCCAAGCAATGTTGTGTTTAGTTTTAAAAGTAATTTTTCTAACCGCATTTCTTTTTCCCTGAAGAGTTTCATTCCAATGCTGTCTGCAATACCCCTCTTTTAATAAGATGTTTGTAGTGTTGTTGTGTTTGGTGTGTTTTGGGCCAATGACAATTTGAACAGAAGCACTATTGCTTGTTCGCTACAGAGTAACACCTCTTCATTATGGCGCCGTCTCTCTGATCTTCTCCACTGAAGCAGCATCCTCTCCAAGCCTGACTGACAATAATTGGACAGAGGCTGAAGATGGGGTGCTGCTTTAGTGGGTAGAAGTAAGTGATGAAATGGCAGTGACTGTGAGGGACAGCTCATACACACGGCCTGCATGAACACACACAAAACCCGCACAGTAATCACACACATCACATGCTCAGCTGTGAGCACCAGAACATCTGTGAATGCAGCACCTATGGGATGCTCCCAGCTGAAGGTTGAGGGATTCGTTTCTGTTTGTTTGAAGAGCCATGCTGAGGGTGCTGACACACCGATCATGGTAACAGAGCTTTTCTGCTTTCTTTCCCTCTCATTAGATGGCTATTCGACGATTGACCAGAGAGACAAAGACTCCAAGTACAAAAGCAGCGATGGCTCATCTGATCTGCAGGAGCGGGAGCCGTTAAAGGTCAGAGCTGAAGTGTCAGAAGTGAGACACGTTTCTACATCCGTTTAATCTGAGAAGGCACTGTGTGTGACAATGCTATCTGTGGTAGTGTGGTAATATCCTGTCTGTCTCATTAGCTGCTTCAGGCACCAACACTGCAAGTTGTGCAGAGAAAAGAGAAATGATATATTAACAGTGAATTTGGGTTGGAGCCACGGTGAAGCGGTTAGCTGCAAAACCTAGTGAGTTGTCTAATTAGTGGAAGGCTTCAGAACTGTATTGCCAGATATGTAGAACAATAAGCAATCTGGTCTGAGCCAAAATAAGGTTGGTTCTCCACAACAAACCAAAGTGATTTTCACGCGTTGGAAATGCGACCCATGACTGCCCATATTTATAAGCAACCTAATGAAAAACAATCCTAAATTCGCTTATAATAAGTGGACATGGCAATACTGATTTTATGGCATCATAGATCCCCCCCAGTATGATGGTGTGATATATATATATCAGACTTTCAGATCACAGTCTACATCTATACGTTTAAGATATCTGTTCATATTAAGTATATTTAAACTTAACTTCCCCTCATACAGTCTGTTGTTAGCTCCATGTGGTGCTTAAAAAGATAATTAAATGTCAGCTTTGTGATTTTTTTTAAAGTTATTAATGTAGAGATGATTAAGAAACTGTCTGGTGCTACTATTTTCCCCCTCTGACTGTCATCTGTAGGAGAGGTCGACTTGCATATCAAGTGCCTCTGCAACAGTAGATTGAGTTCTCTTACTCCTCCTTGACTTTATATGGATTCATCTCATATAACGAGTGTTATCAGAGTCCAGTGTGAGAGTGATTGACATTACTGTGTCTGCATTCGAAAGAGGCCACACTGTGCTCATAGATGAGCGTGTTCATGGACGCCTCTGCATTATTGACGACTACATTTCTGTACCATCTGTAGTTCGTCTCAGCATTGTGACAGGGCTTTGTATCTCAACAGCTGCCTGCCATATTTCTTTGTTAGACTTTCCGAACGCTTTAATAGATGTCATGACAAATTCAGATTCCTATTGCTTCGACTTTCAGAATGTCAACCGAACAAACAGATTAATTATTTTCTATTGTCACAATATTTGGCAGACATTAAAGGGGTCATATGATGCGATTTCAATTCTTCCTTTCTCTTTGGAGTGTTACAAGCTCTTGGTGCATAAAGAAGATCTGTAAAGTTGCAAAGACTAAAGTCTCAAATCCAAAGAGATATTCTTTATAAAAGTTCAGAGTCAGCCACACCTACCTAAAACGGCTCGTTCTAACACGCCCCCACATATCTACCTCACTATGTGGGAAGATTTGCATAACGCCGCCCAAATGTTCACGCAAAGAAAGAAGGCGTAACTTTTAGTCTATAATGTTCTTTTTAGCAGCATCATATGACCCCTTTAAGGGTTTATTTCCCTACTAATACAATGAAGTTGCTCCCTCTAGGGGACCTTGCTGGCACAACACGCATGTATACCTAAAAATCATGCCGATCAAAGTTTTGCTGTTTTCGGAATGGATCTTTGTTCAGTTCTGCATGCATTCACTTCAATTACCTTTCTGTTCTATCATTTCAAACTGTTTATTTTCCCCTTGAGCTTCCCCTGCTGCAAGGACTAACTCTGGCCTTTCTCTGTGTGTTTAAACTGTTGGTTTTGCTGATTTGAACCCCTCTCCCATTGCTGCAGAATGACACAAATAGGAAACACTATATCAGGAGCAACAGGCCGACTGTCAGCCTGGTGGATGCTTGTGATGTAAAACCTCAGCCTGTTGACTCCTGGGTCTAAATGCATGCATGGTAGGTTTTATGTGTTTGATTTGGGTGTTTTGTTGTAGTGGTTTTGTTCTCACCCATCCTGTTTATGAAATAACTCCCACCCTTTTTTCATCATTTGCTCTGTCTAACCCAGAGAAGTGCATTGTCTGAATCGATCGCTAATCTGACGACTGCATGTTCAGATCTTAAAATATAATTTTCTTCATGAGGATTGTGATTCAGAATAGATGTGAAGATAGGATCAAACTGATTTCTTGAAGAGTGGAGCATGATTAAGTGTCTATATTGCATGTACTCTACCGTTCAAAAGCTTGTTTTTTTTGGGTTTTTTTAATAAAAAAACAGTAATATTTTGAAATATTAGTTTAAAATAACAGGTTTTTTTGGTTATATTTTAAAATGCAATTTATTCCTGTGATGGCAAAGCTGAATTTTCAACAGCCATTATTTCAGTCTTCAGTGTCACATGATCCTTCAGAAATTATTCTAATATGCTGATTTGCTGCTCAAGAAACATTTCCTATTATTATCAATGTTGAAAACAGTTGTGCTGCTTAATATTTTTGTGGAAACCATGATACAATTTTTCAGCATTCTTCGGTGAATAGAAAGTTCAAAAGAACTGCATTTATTTCAAATAGAAAACTAATTTTTTTACTGTCACTTTGGAACAATTTAATGTGTCCTTGCTGACTTTTTGCTGAAAGTATTCATTTCTTTTAAATAAAATCTCACCCCAAACCTTTGAACGCTTTTCACTCATTTTCTGTGGAAAGTGGACTAAATGAAGAAACTACACTGTGTATACTCGTACATGTTCCAGTGCTGACTTCTCTGGGTTAGCATCATCATCGTCTGTTTATTTTCACTCTCATGCTTGCCAAATATCTGCTCATCATCCTTGCTTTCTTCATCCCATACTGTATCTGTCTGGCAGGAAACCATCATCAGTTCAGTTCTAGTCCTTGAAACATGTAGAATTTAATCATGTCCAGTATTGTTTAAATCTGGTAAGTCATATAGAGAAAACATGTCATTAGTTTCAACATCCTAAAAATCATCCATCATTCAAGTGACATGCTCGCTTTCATTTGGCAGACATTATCTTGTGCATGTCTATAAATGTAATCATGTCTTTGTTTGTGAACATATTACAAATATCTCTCATTAGAACGCACATTTTTATTTAGTCTGATAATGTCGTCTGATGTCTGTGGCTTTCCTGCCCTCTCCGCTGCAGGCTTAGCTAGCAACAGCGCCACATCTTACCACACAAGGATTTCACGTCACCACTGCCATTAACTGCAGAGCTCACCGTGATGTGGACTCATCTGAAGACTTTTGCCTAAAAGAGCGAGAGAAAAATACAAACTTTCATTCAACAGCCAATATTTTGAACAAGTGAAAAGGGGAAAAAAGTACCATTTCTCATATGTACATTCCCACTGGATGTAGTGTACCCAGAACTGAGGATTTGCTGTCACGGAGCCAGAATGATGGATTGATTTGAGTGTACAGTGCTGTCATGGACGTGGATGTGTATTGGAAAGAATTGGATTGAGGGGTAAAAGGAAATAAGAAAAAAAACTATTTTTATGTCAAAAGAATTTAATTTTTGCCTATTATTTTTGTTGTACGTTTCTGCCTGATTACTGTTTGTTTTGTGGATTTGTTTTCCCCCGAAGTGCAGTGAATTGTGAATTTTGTTTTCATTTATTTTCATTTTGTAGAGTTTTAATGAAAGTTTGGGTTTTCTAAAATAGTTGAGGACACTTGTGAAAGGAGGAAAAATAATGTTTTTTTTTGTTGTTGATGATGTTCATTACAACGGTGTGGGGGCACATACAAAGTCTGGGGGGGGAGGGGGTCTATATTGAAATGCACGCTTTTGCAATTTCTGTGTGCTGGCTTTATAAAGCAACTTTAAAGACATATTATCACTGTGTTTGTTTCTTCTCACTTAGAACTGTTGTTAAAAAGCAGAGATTTACCTGCTTACAGTGACATCTGCTCATAGTGGAGCTGAGAGGAGGAGAGCTGCTGTGCTTTCAGCTGGATTTGATCTGCTGATCTTGTATTCCCCTTGACATGTCGAGCTGTAGAGGCATTCTGGGTAACACTGGCACTTACCAACTATTGCTTTGGTTTATTTAAAAAAGGGTAATGAGGGGGAAAAAATCTATTTGTTAATATGTAGATTGTGCTACGAGGGATGGTAGGGGGATTCACTTGCTCCTGTTGTCATAAAGGTAGATTTTAAAAGCATTTTATATTTTTTGTTGTTTTATAAATGTATATTAGCTGCAAATATTAAAAAAAAGAGGGCAAAAAGGTCACAATCATCCTTATAACATTGATAGATGTGAATCCATAACAGATTGTTCAGAGCACATTCAGTATTCCGTACAGAAAGCATGGCCATGTTTGTATAAAAACTATTAATAATATAATAAACAGATCATTGCTTTAGTTAAATGTGTATCAAAGGCTGTAGAGTCATTCTCATTGTCTTATTTATATTTGATATTTTTTACACCTTGTTTTGTTAAATGGAAGCATTTATTATCAGTGTTGTTTTTTCAATTGGAAAACATGTTCAAAATGATCTGATTGGTTGGCAAAATTTAAAGGAAAGACCAGAATGAATTTCAGAAGAGGAATCAGGGATAGATACTTCCTTTCATTTCAGCTCTTATGCCAGCCTTTCTAAATACTTTCACATCAAAAATGTATCTCTCGAGTATAACAAAATAACATGACAATTGTGGATACTCAAATGTTTCCACTGTCAGTGTAAAGATATCCTGTGTTATATCATTTTTTACCCATAAACGCATAAAAATGGGCAAACACTAAGTAATATACCAAGTAGAACGACAAATTATTTTGTTCTTATTCCAGTTTCCTGATAATGTGTAATATGCAGCACACACCTGCTTTATCATCTGATTTCTGTCATGTAAGTCTATATCTAACTCTCTATAGCAAGGTTTTTTCAGTAGTGTTTTAACAGAGACTCCTAATAACAAAATAGCAGTGTAATCATTTCATTTTTAAAGAGGAAATGATGTGTACGTTCACATCGAGATCTTTAGCCTTGTGTAGGTTCATTATTAATATTTGACTGTCTGTTCCTGACTGCCTTTTTGCAGAATAAAACCAAAGGATTTTGGTACCGTGTAGTACAAGAGAAGAGGTTCCCAGAGTGTGTATATTTATAGAAAAACAGATGTTGAAATGGATTCAAGAGAAGCCTACCTTTGTAGATATCACTAATTCAAAGCATCAAAACTCAGTACATGTACAACTTGGTAGCAAATGTGTTTGTAACTATCATGTGCCTTAACCTTTTTCCATGTTAGATGAAAATAAGTGTTTTATATGTTTTATTGGTCCCTAACTGCTCTTTCTCTCTCTCTCTCTCTCTCTCTCTCTCTGTCTCTTTGACATACAAACAAACACACACACACACACACACACCTCCTCTCTCTGGCTCCTCCCACTTTCACTCACTCTGTGTTCTCAATGTAGTCTAGACTGGTGGTGGGTTTTGCCTTGTATTACATTGTATTATACAATTTTAAAAGATAGAAACATTAAAAGGTTTTGATTATATAGTTGTTTATGCTTTCCTAGCACTCAAGAACAATGCCACAGTGACCGAATGTATTGTTAATTTTACTAATACCCAGAAGAGAGAATTGCTCTTGTTAAAGAAAAATACAGGTTTGTAGAGTATCACTTTGGTGTGTTTTCAATAAATCATGCCTGAAATGAGCATATTCTGTCCGTTTCTTTTCCTTTCCCCCCCTAACTTAAAATTTAAATTGTGTCATTTTGTAGTTTTGGACCCCATTGACTTTCAGTGTATGGCTAAAACAGTTGAAATGTTGTTCAAAATGTTATTTTGTGTTCCATAGAAGACAGAAAACCATGCCGATGACCTAAGGGTGAGTAAATGATGACAGAATGTTTATTTTTGTATGGACCATACTTTAATACACTTTCAATCTTCATTTCAGGCAAATTATGCATTTACTAGAAACAGCTTGTCACACGATTTTTCATCAGAAAACAGGTTTTTGTTTCATAGTCATAATAATTTAGTTCCTCTAGAAATCTCTGAATTTTTTACATTTGTACATGATTTAAAGATTGATACTCCCTCTGGCTGTTTAACAACTCCAAGAGCGGAAATATTTATTTCAGGAATTTAATTTGGTAAAAACGGCAAAATATTTCTAACTTTGTGCATTAAATCACATCATCCAGTGTGTGTGCAGCTCCTGCGATGGCCTGTGTGACGATGGATATGTGTTTATGAGCCTGATCCCAGTCTTCCTTCAGCCCGGTGCTCTCAGCCTTCTTTACTGCATCTGCCAGGCCGGGGAAGGTGGGCACACTTGATGACCATATCACATGCCTGTGTGGTGCCAGACAGCATTAGAAGTGATTGCAAACAGGTGTGACATCAGCATGAACAAATGGAGAGTGGTAAGGGGAATGCAGATTAATATTCATAAGGGACCGGTCATTATTAGCAGGACATTTTAATAATGCTGCTTCATACCTGAAACCATATTGCTCTGGGAATGCTAGCGGGTCAAGGAAAGCTCTGTCCAGCAGCATGAGCTGGTCATTAATTTGACGAACCTTCAGGGGCCTGTTGTGAAGACAGAAGTTATGTTTATGCTGTTTTGTACCCTTGACACCACAGCAGGTGATTTTGACATCACTTTAACCCTGTAAAGCCTACTCTATCAAATTTCTAATGCCTCTAAATTATCAACATGAGCAAAACTTTGCTGAAAAACCTGTTGTACACCATATTCTACATAGTTTATTCTTTTTTAGCAAGTAAAAGACCTTTAAAAACATCCCCCTTCAGGTTGTGGTACACATGTCTTTTTTACTGTGAAATCCATAATGATTTTTATAAAGTAAATGTAAAAATAAATGTGAAATTGTTAGTAACACTTATTGGACTCGAGCCACTTAGGTTTATACTTGATTATTCATACAGATTGTTTTTTTAAATAATCATGATAAAAAAGTATGAAATATGATCAGGTTTTTTCAGGAATGTTTTATCTTACTCTGCTAGGGTTGTAAAAATCTCAAAGAATGGCCATATAAATATCAGCAAAGACACCAAATTGCAATTTTTTGCTCAGTTTGGGCCTCTAAATAAAATTGAGATGTTTTTTATGAGCTCCAAATTTATCTGTCTATCTATCTATCTATCTATATATGTGTGTGTATATATATATATATATATGTCAAGTTTGGTGGCTGTCGTGGAATAACTGCACAGCTTTCTTCGAGGATTCTGGGATAGGAAAAAGTGCTCATTCTCATTGCTACTTTGACACTTATGTACTTCCATCTCTCTCACCTTGTACAAACATTTAGGTTGGCAAATTCCCCTAATGAATAACATTTCCCTCATCCAAAGCAGTCTGGAAAATCTTATTAGCTCACCGATAGAGATTCCTTTAGCCGCAAGTTTTTCCTCAAAGATTGTAACCGCCTGACTGAGGTACTGCTCTGGACTTTCTGCATAGTCACTGCAGTTGAAAGGCAGCAGAAGACTGTCAGCCAATCGCAACAGTACGTTCCATGCTGTCCTGGCTACTGCCTGGTGACTTGTGAAACCTACATAATGGAAAGTCCTTTGAATTTAAAATAGAACCGACAAGAACTGGCAGACAAATATTAAAAGAGGGATTATAGTACATAGAATATATTATCTCATTTGAGAACCTCAGTATTCGGTTCATCTGGATCAATGTGTGTAGATGCGTATAGTCAAAGGTATCATAAGCTGTGTAGTAGGCTGGGTAGATTCGCGCTCTTGTTTTGCTCTGCAAAGGGATGGAGAATGTGTTCTTAATATTAACCAACTGTTTTTAATTCCAAGTGTTTGATTGCATCAGCGCTGACCACATACCCAATCATAATAATAGGAAATGTCCATAGACGTTATTCCAAGGTAGTGCATAAAAGCAGCATAATCACTTCCTGCTCCTGTCAAGAAGCCCACACTAAAAATACAATGAACAGTATTGAGAATTATTACTAGTAGTCATGGTATTGTAATCACCTTGTTTTAAAATATAACATCAAACCATGAGGTATATTGCGAGCATACTTTGGTATAAATCCCATAATTTGGACGGGTTCTGTTGGAAAACTGTTCTCATAGACTGATTTGGTTGGTCCAGGTGCATTTACCTGAAAGCACATGACTCATCAAAGCATTATGAAAGTCACATCTCAGATAAGGTAACTGATAAAGGACTTGTTCCTCACCTGTTTGGAGGCTGTAAAAATGACACTGTGCTGCTGGAGAAGCAGAAGCCCTGAGCGTAGCGTTAGCTGTGGTGGACATAGAACATTTCATCAAGTAG